GTCTTCAACTCGGAACCCGCTGGGGGTAGCAGAGGAAGAGGGAGGCCCCCACTGCGATGGAAAGATCAGGTGGAGAAGGCCTTGGTTTCACTTGGCGTTTCCAATTGGCGTCAGTTGGCACAGAGGAGAAATGACTGGCGTGCTTTGCTGAACTCGGCCAAAATCACTTAGGCGGTTACAGCGCCAAAAAAGAAGAAGAAGAATCTTCCACAAACACGCTTTGACTCATATAGTGCAAGAAATTTCCGCCAAAATAGTTTTTACTTAGAAAATTGAGCTAATTTCACCACTGACGACACCAGCATGCTGGTACAATCACACCACAAGAACATACACGGTCAATCGACTTCATGGGTCATTTAACAATCTATTTTAAACTATAGTTAAATCGTTAAAAGATAAGTTAACAGCCCCAATACTTTTACAGTATGTATTTATAAAATCGTAAGGAACATAATATACATATATGTATATATATCAGTCTTTCTTAGTTTAAAAATTCACCTCTTACATAAATGCAAAAAAAAAACAAATTAAGCATATACAACTTTTTCATGCCAAGTATGAATAAATTCTAAAAAGGGCTAAAAAAAGGGCTAGGGGCAATTTTAAATTTATGTGGCCAAAAAAAGTATTTGGTAAATAAATCTAGCCACCAAAGGGCTAAAACGGCAACACTGGTCCTGTCGAATGCAAGTCGCTTGTCGAGAGTCGAGTCGGATCAAAAATTTCACATCATTGCTTAAAATTTCCACTCGACTAGTGTATTGAAACGCGCAAACTTGGCAGCATTACATAGTTTTCGACGATTTTCGTCGTATTATTTCAGCATGACAGTCAATAATGCAGATGTCGAGTCGTAATATTTAAAATTAGAGGCAGAGTATATCTCAGACCGCAACGGAGTACAGAGCCGCAAGTAGTCAAAAGCAAAGAAAGTGTCGATACATTGTCAGCGAACTAAAGCAGATAAGAGAAAAATCAAGAAACCACCAAACATAACATAGGGATGTCGAAAAAACATCGATAAATCGAAAATTTTCCACTCGATGTAAAAATAGCAGAGACCATAACGATTATAAGAAATAAAATTAAATATTGCCCAATAATTATTACTGAACAGTGGAAAAGTTGTTTTCGTCTCGCGGGACGATTATTTCAAGACGAATATTATTTACGTCATCTCATAATAATTAGATGGGATATTTATTTTTTTTCGTCTCTCGGGACGTTTATTTCAAGACGAACATTATTTACGTCTTCTCATAATAATTATATGGGCTTTTTTTTCGTCTCTCGGGACGTTTATTTGAAGACGAATATTATTTACGTCTTCTCATAATAATTATATGGACTTTTTTTATTTTTTTCGTCTCTCGGGACGTTTATTTCAAGACGAATATTATTTACGTCTTCTCATAATAATCATATGGGCTTTTTATTTTTTTTCTTCTCTCTGGACGTTTATTTCAAGACGAATATTATTTACGTCTTCTTATAATAATTATATGTCCTTTTGATTTTTTTTTCGTCTCTCTGGACGTTTATTTCAAGGCTAATATTATTTACGTCTTCTTATAATAATTATATGGATTTTTTTATTTTTTTCGTCTCTCGGGACGTTTATTTCAAGACGAATATTATTTACGTCTTCTCATAATAATTATATGGGCTTTTTATTTTTTTCGTTTCTCTGGACGTTTATTTCAAGACGAATATTATTTACGTCTTCTTATAATAATTATATGGGCTTTTTATTTTTTTTCGTCTCTGGACGTTTATTTTAAGACGAATATTATTTACGTCTTCTTATAATAATTATATGGGCTTTTTATCTTTTTCGTCTCTCTGGACGTTTATTTCAAGACGAATATTATTTACGTCTTCTTATAATAATTATATGGACTTTTTTTTCGTCTCGGGACGTTTATTTCAAGACGAATATTATTTACGTCTCATAATAATTATATGGACTTTTTTATTTTTTTCGTCTCTCGGGACTTTTATTTAAAGACGAATATTATTTACGTCTTCTCATTTTAATTAGTTGGCCTTTTTTCGTCTCTCGGGACGTTTATTTCAAGACAAATATTATTTACGTCTTCTTATAATAATTATATGGGTTTTTTATTTTTATTTTTTGGCTCTCTGGACGTTTATTTCAAGACGAATATTATTTACGTCTTATAATAATTATATGGGCTTTTTATTTATTTTTGTCTCGGGACGTTCATTATAAGACGAATATTATTTACGTCTTCTCATACGCGCACGGCTTACCACTACACCACAGCGGCCAATTAATACCTACATATGTACATACATAATTTAATACTTACATTACACTGTGGAACAAATTCAGGTTAGCAAAAGTTAGGTCGATTCTGAGAGTGAGGTGTGAAAATAGAGGCTAAATTAGAAGACCCGTATCGCGGCGTTTCTTTATGTTAGTTCGAATTTTTTTT